TTTCAAGTTGGCGAACTATATAGCAAATAATATGAACCAATTGGCTGCGAGCTTTTGCTCATTTTAATCAATTGATTCTTGTTAGTTTCTTTACTGGCTAGATGCAAGTGGCAAGAATTTCTTGTTCTGTATATAATCTGTTCGCACCACCACAGACGAGGCATAACTGATAAGAAAAACCATGCTCGAAGATTCGTATTTTGTAGAGGAAATGTTAAGGAATGTGGCTATATTTCTGTTCAAATTTTCAACTTGTCGAGGGATACGTTGAAGCGAGGGGCGTTCCTAGTGATCAATTAACGGACACTCAATTATCGGGCTTCTACTGTAATTCACGAATTCACCGTTCTCATAACGTAGAGGGCAGCAAAAAATCTCTGACTGTTTGCACAATCGATATTTTAGAACATGAGACACAAAGTCCTATAAGATGATAAGTTTATTTTCTATCTCGTCTGTGATATAACTATCATAGTTTAGTAAGTATTAAAGATGTAATTGATGAAGTAAGTATTTGTAATTATAGTGCAAACAAAGTATTTAACGTATGGTTACATGATAACAATAAAAAAATATGCGGACGTTGCAAAAATAATGAATAATATTCGAACATTTCGTATATTATATTTACTTACCTTTAAGTTTTCATCTGTATAACGTAACGATATTTATTAATTTTTTACTAGTAGATTCTTACAAACATTTAGTAGATCATATCGACTTGATATAATATAATAATAACTTGTATCAACAGGTTGTTAAATTTTACTGTGAACTCACGTATTTATCAATTTGATTAATGCAATAGATTCTGGCAATTTGTGGATACGTATTGATCATAACATGTAATGAATAAAAATTATATTTGTAAATACAAATCTATGATCATATTAATAAGGTATAGAAACTCTATTATCAAGAATACTATAGGAGGCACCATAATAATCGTTTTTGAATTATTTTATTTCTAAAATATACTTTCTTTAGATGGTCAGACTGTAGGAAAAGTGATCTAAGAATGGTACAAGCTTTCAATATTTTATGACTTTTTTATTGAATGTTTCTAACTGTTATCGAGAAACAATGTGGTATCTGTCATACATATTATAAACTGGTCTTTGTGTATTAAAATTTCATACGCGAATATAACCAATGATATCTGTGTTCAATTTTTTTTTGTAACGCGCACTTTTTATATTTATTTACACAAGTCTGTACCAGTCACTTATGGCGATCATGATAAATGCAATGATAATCATTTTGTGTACTGATTCATGAAATATTATTACTTATCTATGAGATTTTGATATGATCTATGTAAACTTGTTAAATAGTAATTTTAAGTAAATTTATAAAAGCTTTGATCAGTATAAAAATGCTGTTAAGAGGAAAAAGAATTCGATCATTCAATTTACTCTGCTGAGCATTGAATTTGAAACTTTTGTTTAAGATGGATGTTCATTCATTTGCAGATTTACTGATGTTAATCTATCAAAATAATTCGTCACAAATGTTTCAAATTCAAATTTCAATGTAAGAAAATCTTTGTTGCTTTCCTTTTGTGTATGTACTGTAGCCTTCATTGTAAACTAAGTTTATTCGGTTATTCGATATTTTCAATTTTTATTCCCTTTTGATAATATTCAAGGTAGAAATCTCATTTCAATACTTATGGATCTATTAAAGCAATTCTTACATACTCAAAATACATGAAAAATGTAATTGATGTTTTAAATTGTCGCAATTTTAGCGATTTCTTAACGTCCTTTGTATAATCAAATCTTGGTCCATGTCCATTTTGATAATTGATTCTATATCTAAAATTTATACAGTATTCGCACCAATTAATTGTATCTGAACTACATCAAATTTTTGATAAACTCCATTAAATGATATCTCATTTGGTGATAACAGTAAAGTGAAAATATCGATTATCCGTAAATGCCTGTTATTTATTCAAATACTCTGCGCTTTATTCGTTTCGTCAGACGTGGTCAGTTTGCCATAAGTAGGTACAGCTGTGTCATGTTACATGAAAATATTTTATTTTCTTAGTGCAGTTCATCAGGTCTTGGACAAGACAACACACACGACCTTTGATCATTTAAATGTTCAGTGGCGCACTGTAGGATCAAATTATAGGCCTCCTAACAATAGATAAATAGGTATATAATCGTGAAGTTGTAGAGTTTTATAATAATCTGAGAATTTACTAAATAAAAAAAAATATGTATTTAGTAAGAGCTCATTTAATGTAAACATATAATATGATATTTATTGTTTCATATAACGTGAACTATTCCTTAATAATACTATTATCGTTTCTTTTACAATAATTCTATCAATTTTTAATATCTTTCCAATATAATACTCTGTATATTTAATAAAATAAAATTATACCTCGTTTGTGAAGTGTTTTATATAATTCAATTGTCAAATACCAAATAATAGTAATAACAATAGATTTTATTTTATAATTTACATATTGCTATTCTTCAGAAAAATGATAGATTTGCTCCATTGTACCAGATATTTATAAAGCTCTACAACTCTTAAACCAAGACCATGTATTGTGTATTTTAGGATATTATTAGGTAGGTATAGGTAGACATTGCCTATGTACAATCGCAACAATGTTGCGTATGCCTACTTCTTGGCAATCCTAAGTAAAGCTTACAGTTTGAATAAACTTTTTTTAGATAATTATGTCTTTAGTAAGTAAGTAATAATTCTATTAGAAATAACAGTGCAATATTTGAACTGTTATTTTCCTGCAGCCATTTACATATTACATTTTCTAGTTTTAAAGTATTCTCATACAATGCTTGTATGTTTTGGTTCTGAGACATAATTAAGATAATCATTTTACTATTATAACTGGCCAATAAGTATCTGCCACTTTTCTTATATTATTATATCTATTTATCATATATACAGATAATATACAATAGTCGCGCTTAATGTAAGTAATATTATTATCCTATATTCAATAATATTATAGTAGTTATACGAATAGAAACTTGACCGCATCTAATCTTTCAATGTGCGCTAGTGTTGCACACTGGAATATAAATACATTTTTATATAAAATTTGTATAATCTACATGAATCACTTTAAGTATATCTTCTCTTTTAATCACAAAAGATATAAATGTAATAACTACTACGTAAGCGGGGGGCCATGGGCGGTGTCACTCTGGCAGTATATCATACAAATAATTCTAGAAGATCGGAATTTTCGTCAAATGAGAAATCAGTTTATTTTCTTTTCAAAGAACGCGCGTTAAACACAGAGAATTCAGTTTCCCATACTGAACTAATTCATCTTCATTTTTGTACCTTCACTTTATCAATCAAATATGGAAAATTATTTTCGCACATACATAATATTTGTAAACTTTGATTTTTTTTTATAAAATTTGATTTTCTGTATCTTATTATTGTATGTTTCTTTCCTTAGAATCTTAGATCAATTATGTTAATTTGTTTATTCATTGTGAAAGTTCCGTTACATTTTCAATGAAATAATAAAGAATTCATTAATTTCTCTTTTGCAAATTGAGTTAATAAAGGTCAATTATTTGTATTGAAAGGTGAAAACAAACTCTATATATAAATGATTTTGGTGCATCTTCAGAGATTTTGTATATTAGAATTTATTTAGATGTCTTAACAGTTTGCTGAACTTTTAACATTGTCAGTTGAAAACTTTCTTTTTATTATATTGAGTAATATCCAATTAGAATTTGTTGAAAATAAAAGTTATTCTTTTTTTAGAGAACAAAATGTTTACGTCAATTCAAAATCTCAGAAAACAGACCATACAAAATAGTACACAGTGTCCAGTGTGAAGCCCGATATGCCCTCGATTATTCTTTTTTCATCTGTTGTTACTAATCATCTAAAGGAAAGGAACACTATATGCGCTATATCCATCAATAAGCAGGGTGATTCACAACAGATGAACGCCTTATCTATTTTCGATTAAAACTTATTTACAAAAGTTACTGTACAGTTGTAATTCTGTTGTGATGTAGGTCCATCATAGCCTTGAATGCGAGTAGACCGGTATTTGGAGGTAAAGATCATATTGCAGGGAGACTTGTTTGAAAGTAGAAGCAAGCACAGCACATTTTGTCAAGCAAATATTCCAAAATCATAAATCCGTTAAGAACGTTTACGCTTTCGAAGGTACACTAGAACGATCAGTTTTCTTTTCTAAAATTATGTCAGTATTGTGCAGATGTTGAGCTTGAAGCCCATATTTTCATATAAAATCCCTATATAAATGTGCTATACGATTTATAAAAATTCAGCGACGTAAAGGGTATCGGGTTTATCTATCAAACACAATTAACTTGAACCTCTTTCAGTACATTCTTTGAATATTGTCCGTGTAAAAACTTATTTCGGAATGAAGAGATGGACAAACGGTAATGTATATAAAATATGTATGTGTATAAGTTCATCGATCGTATCGCACATTTACTGTATCAAACAAACACGTTCGTAACCTTAATCTGTATGTAAAACTCCACATGGAAAAAGATTGCTTCTACGTATGGTATTAAAAAATTCGTATTTACCTTCATTTGAACACAATTAATATAATTGTGGTACTCGGTGAATCAGTTCTGGAACATATGCCCGGCACAATGTTAGAACGCATCGCTATTGGAAATAAAATTTCCAATTATCAGGGACCAAAAACGTAATCCGTGCAATAACATCTTTACAAATAAGCACACTACGGCGGTGCTTTGTTTTTCCGCTATTTTAATTAAAAGTCATCGTTTTACATTTTCTTTTCCGTTTAAATCTAATAATATGCCCTAACTTCGTCAATAGGAATATTATTATAATTAGAGCTAAGATTGTTTGTACCATTGAATTAGGTGAAAGCACCCACAGTGTGACCCCAATACGTTTCGACGTCTCTCACTACAAGTATTTTCGTCCGAGTTGAAATATATTTGTAGTAAGATTATGCATACCTGCCGATCATTTTCTTTCTTTTCTGTTTTTCGTTTAACGTTAGGGTCGTGATTTGATTATTCCTTTAAAAGATGCTTGATTCTATTTTTTACTCGAAGAGTGCCAATATGTCATCGCTCGATGAGGGGTTTCCACTGCTGGCGCCACTGCTGGGAGGAGTGTTCAGATCTGGTGGATCTAGGTACGAAAGTAATTCCATTGGATCCACAACATTGTCTGGCAAGAGCTGTAACAGGAAACATAAACACTGTTATTACAAGTCTCGACTCATTCATTCGGAATAGAGAAGACTCGAAATTCTAGGCTACTTACATTCAATGCTTCCTGACCCGTACCCTCGCCATCTATTACCGCAGCCGGATCGAAATTCAAGTCTGACGGTATATCCGCAGAATCATTATTTATGTTTGTACTCGTACTACCAGACGTGTTATGATTCCCCGTAGATTCCTGAGATGCAGGAGGAACACTTGGTGGTCCGCTGTTACCACCACCTGGTGTGTGGGGTGTGTGAGGAGTATGGGGTGTGTGCGGTGTATGAGGCATCTATAACGTACAAAATATCATATGACATTATGGAATATTGTACAACATTACGGAACAATTTCGAAGTGTCGTAGCTTCAAAATTTCAATTCACCTGATCGTTCAGTGACTTCTCCATAGCGTTTAAGGGATCTAGGGAGTTAACTGATTCGTTTAAGTGCGACAGAGGCCCCGACCCGTTCGAGTAATCGTTATTGGTGTTGGTATTCGTTCCGGAATTGATATCGAAAGATCCTCCAGACGAATTTCTATGGTTAATATTGTTGTTTCCGTACGTAGATTGTGTATTGTTCATCATAGAGCCGCTCACGATGCTGCTCATATCAGGCGGTATGTACGGACTCATCGCCTGGTTCATATCCCAATTATTCATAGTGGGCATGTTCATACTTCCAGGTGACATGGCCTTGGTCAATCTCTTGCAGTCGCTTTCTTCCTCGGATTTAATACCGCTCATGTTCTTCGCTGGTTTCCAATTCGCCATGGAGTCTATCGTCACTTCCTCCACTTCTGCAGTGTTTAGTGTATTCAAAATGCCCCACATGTACTGGTCAACCTCTAGTCCTTCCAATTGCGCAGGTTTCCTACAAGAGGTACATGCAATATTAGTTTAATATGTCGACAAATATACATAGGTACAATATCATAATAAAAGACAAATGAACTTACGTGCACACAGGACACCTCCACGATCCCCTCTCGCAGTTTAGCTGTAGGTACGACTCCAAATCGAAGCATTGTATGTGTTTGCAGTCATGTCCTCTAGCTGGCAGTGTAATACGTTTAAAGGTGATAGGACATTTTAAAGATACCTGTAATACGACAATAACGTGAATAAGTAACGAGTGAACTTGAAACATTTCAGTAAACATTGATCGTATAATAGTTTATTTCTAAACTACTTTGAACTAATACGAATTATAATCGACATTGTATATTGACGGAATACTGTGTTACGTATCGTGCCTCACCTTAAGTGCTGTTTGTTCCACTACATCTTTCTCCGATTGTATGCCATTATTCGAAATAGTATTACTGAAATTCCGTTTGATTTTGGTTATACAGTGCTCCGCCGTAAGTAGCCTTTTACGTAACAATCCCTGTAGTACACTTCGCACGCTTGGTCGATGAACTAATTGAAGCACGAACAAATGCGACTGTAAAAGAAATGGAACAAAACAATGAATTATACGTTCAGCAAAAATACGATAATTTTATTTTTCTAATCTGACGAAGAAAAAAAAAAGACTTACACAACAACACGCTGAAACCGTAATTTGTATCGTGTTCCTTCCCGGTTGACACACGTCCTTCAGGTATAAGGGCTTGTGAGACGTTTTATTCTCACCACGATCGATAACCAGCGGCGTAGCGTTCACAGAGACTTGCACGCTCGCCGGCCAGTTCGTGTTCATTTGTCTGTCCTCATGGTGGAAACACTTGAGTTGCAATTCGAGATCGGACCGCCACATCAGCGTTTGGTGCACCGTAGACTTTAGTTGGAATACATGGTTGCTTACAGCCAAATTGTGTTCTAAGCGGAAGGGTGGAAGAATAATGCCATCCCTCACGGGGAATGTTAATCTCAGCTCATCGTCTTCTGTGGATAACAATCAAAACGTCACATTAGTATGTTAATCTTAAACCCTCTTTTAATAAATACGTATAGTATAATCAAGTCCATTAACCCTCGAACACCCGACCATTTAACCACGACGCGACGTAGAGGGCCGATACACAAAATATATATACAATGCTTCTTTTACTAGACACAATTCGTACATTTCACGGAATTTACAGTGTAGTCACTGTCGTTGCATTGAAGATACAATGGTACGTTAGAAAAGAACCGGGATCAACTGGACGAGTGTTAACCTGGAAAGTCGACTTACTTTGAATGTTAACTGGTGACTTCATCTCGTTGAAGTTGGGTTTGATGTCTGGATTCGGACTAATGTACGGGGGCATGCTGGTGGCCGGTGTGAGCGGGGGAGTCGGATTTCCAGGGATAGGACTATGTTGGTAGTTCAGACTCCCCGCACCCGTCGTTCTCATCGACGCGACGTCCTGTTGATACTGACTGGACGCTGCGGCGCCAGCCACGTACGAGGACGCGCTGGCCGCGTATCCCGTGTTCGGTTGGTGACCAACGAATTGATTGCCGACCGTGGTAGGTCCCATGCTGACCGGTATACCGTTGCTACCATAATATTGGTTCGCCGCCGCCTGGCCGGCGGTATTGTACGACGGCGCGGTTTGCCTCATATTGGTGCCCCGTATCATCGTGTTAGGCCCAAAACCGGCCGCCGTCGGGTTCATGCTTTGCATCGGCTGATATTGAGGCTGAAAGTTCGGCCTCGCCGCCGCGGGGTAATTGGTCGGATACTGCGACGTCGCCATGCCATTGAAACTCGGCTGCATTGCAGCGGGATTCGGGCCAGCGTACGGGCTCTGCTGCCTCTTTTGCGCCATGTGCATCGCAGGATTGGGGTAAGGCGCTAATCTCCTTGGATAGCCTTGGTGGGGTTGAGCCTGGAAACGTAATGATCTTTGTGAGTTTTCGAGGACTTCTAGCGGGAGCAGTAAGGTCGTTTATACGGGGACGTTAGACTGTACGGCAAATCGGGAAATCTTGGATCAGCGTAGTATTATTAATGTAACTGTATTCTATTTGTGGAGGGAAAATACCTGAAGCAAATGTGAAAGGTTAAAGAGATCGACTCTGTTAAAACTGATCGGGACTCCAACCGTGGCACTAATGAGGACCTTACTGTTTTATATGGCTTTGGTGTAAGCGTTTATGTTAGCACTGAACGTACCTGCATGCTTATCTTGTTCATCTGCATGTTGTTAGGTCCCATCATATTGTTCATGCCCATGTTGCCCATGTTACTCATGGAGTTCATGGGGGTCATCCCGTTCATACCGTTCATACCATTCATACCGTTCATACCTCCCATCGACATAGGATTCATCGAGTTCATGCCATTCATACTGTTCATCGAATTCATGGAATTCATAGAGTGCATCGGGCTCATCGTGCCCATGCTATTGAAATTGCTCATCCCGACTGGCCCCATTCCGGCCATTGGTCCTCTTTGGGCGTACCCTGCGTTGTAGGTTTGGTGGGGTATTCCATGTTGGCTCTGCATCTATAACAATCACGATTTCATTCGTTTCAATTTATACAATTAAATTCGTCAAATAAAAATAAGACAAGATTTCGATCGGTTGAACACCGTATAATCGGTGGCGGAACTAAAAGAAGAGGAGATCAGGATGAATACAGAGCAAAATGTATGTACCTGGCTGAATTGCGAGGGGATGTCTTGGCGGTCCTGCATGGCCACCACGCTGGCAGTGGCGGTGGCCGTAGCGGTGGCAGCTGCCACCATCGCCGCGGCACTAAATGTCGAACCACCACCCCCGTTCTGGGGTGGCACCGTGCTATGATAGCCGGATGATAACACGGGCTGCACCCCAACGCCGAGCGCCGCCGTTGTTGATGGTGTTCTTGCTGCCAATTTCGGGAAAAACGACAACGATCGCGTGTCGTGCGGCACAGGCGATTCACCGACAACCGGGGTGCTGAAACAACAAATTAAAAGCCATTTAAATCGTGTCCAATCCGTCAAATCTTTGACCGTCTAAGTCAATAAATGAGTTTTAAGTGACCAATGGACTGCAGATGTACATAGATGTTTATCCAAAAAGGAGTCTAACAAAATGGTGAGCTCAATAATAAACTTTATGAAAGATCGTATCGAGTTTTATGTGGAGGATCGATATGTGATAAACTCATAAAATCTAGCGGTCCGGTGATCGGTTATTCGACTTTTTACTTGCAGGCGAACATTAGAAGGCCTCCGGCTAATAAATTGCGGGGTTAGATTACACGCTTGGGGTTTATGGTAATGAAGTTATAATAATTTATCGACAGTTTATCAACTGGAGCGCGTAATTTGAAACGGTTCACGATAAACGAATTCAGTAACGGGCGAAACACATCGACGCGAACGCCACATAGATATCGCTTTGTAGGTCAAATTCGTGTTCGAACGGTTTCTGTACGAGTAATCGATTGTATCGCAACGTTCTCTATTTTCTGCAGTGCAGCAATAATATACGACAGTTATTCATGGCTGCTGAATTATTTGAGAAGGTCGTCAGCTTAAATCGCGCGCTACGCGGGGCAGCTCCGACTGAGCGGTACGGGTAATCGACTGTCATAATAGGTATTCGATTACTCATTCGAATAAAACCTAACACCTTCGTCTCGCAAGAAACGAAGAGAAGTAAGCACGGTACAGGAAAAGAAAAGCATGCCACTCTGTTCCGTTACTTCCACGTTCCAATCTTCGATAGGGCTATCTTCGGTGATTTGAATTACCGCGTAAAATTCTTATCGCGTTGCAGTAAAACAACTCGGGAAAGAGATAAGCAGAAACAATGAAAAGACACTTCGAAGTGTGTTTTGAGTTCTGACCAATAATGGCGGCATATTTTCCAATCGATTTCAATTCCGATCTACGCAACAAACGACCGGCTTTACCTGTCGATCCACGAGCCGGATCGGCCCTCATTTTCGAAATATTCTTCGACGCAGGAACGCAGCGGAAGTCGAACGCTTTAGAGCGGCCTTCGATCGACATACATCCCAGGCCCGAATATTGTTCGTTCGAGTAGTATTCTCGTTTCAGTCCCCGGTTCGAGACGCGGCGTACCCTAAAAGACCGAAAGACAGACCGAACCCCGCCGCCGTTCATATTCCCAGCTGGCCAAGGCCCCTATTGGTTTTCTGTGGGAAATGCACGTGCTCACTATTCACACACCGTGCTCTGCGCTTATAATACCGTTCTGCTACAAACACCGCTTGCCAGTGCAATCGCGGCCGGGAACACGCTCCACACGATCGTTTTCGACTTGTCCGGACGTATTTTTCGGGGGGATGGGGTGGGGGATCTCAACCACCCTCTTTTCTGTAAACCAAAATCATCGTTCAAGAAGGAAAATCAACGTGGTTGTTCGATTTATGCCTATAAAAAATTTTCCTGTTAATAATTTTCTCTCGACCTATCGAATTTCCATAAAACAAATGGTTATGATACGGTGACGACGAAGAAATTCGACGCCGCCTTAGTAGACTGTGTATTTTATAATGCAGGACATCGGAGTTAGAACGCCGATGAGACTCGAGAGAAAATTACTCAGAAAGGTGAACGAAGTTGCGAACAAGGGTGTAAGATGACCATTGTTCTGTGTATAAAATGTTCGGATCCCGAGGAATCACGTGAAAGAGCGCAACGCGGCGTGTCCTACCGCGAGATCGCGTTACCACATGCGCGTACCGCACTTTTGCGCGTGCTCGTGGAAATTCAACGGAAGCGAGCGGGAATTTCTGCGCGAAAGCACCAGGCATCGAGCGCCCTTTAACTTGACAACGAAGCCTGGGAGATCCGTCCAATGTAAACGGATAGCGTTACGTGTGGAGTGACTTGGAGCGCTCGTGGCGCCCCCCGGAAACTATCTTCCGCGACTTCCGTTCAACTTTCGAATTCACAAGCTTCTTCGAGCAGCATAAATACGCCCTGCACACTGTATCGTATATAACAGTTTTATTACGTAATTTCATTGAATTGCTTAACGAGTTTGCAATTTCCACTTCGATGTTTATTTATTTTTAATTGTAATTCTTAGATGTCAGGAAATAACGATTTCACTTTTTTAAGTCGTGAAATCATTCGAGAGAGTTAAATAATTCTGTGTTAATATATAATCTTTTTAAATATTTGTAACGTATGCTCTAAAATTTAATACAGTGAAAAGCTTAATAAGATTTTCATGTTTTTTGAAGTTACATGGAATCTTTGATAGGATAAAGAAATCTTTGTTACTTCTAGTTCCTGTAAAGTACTTCGTGGAAGTGTATATTTGCATGAGCATCTGTAGTCTATTCAGAACATTAAAAACAACCGTTGTGATTGATAGGCCATCCGATGTCATGCGCTATAAAACCATTACGAACGGGAAAAAGAACGTCCTCGGTTGTTAGAACTAGAAAACGAGTAAGGAGGGATATCCCGTCGTTCTCGTTAATCATTTGCTAAATAATTTTTTCGACGCTCGTTCGACCCCGGCGGTTTTCAAAGTCAACGGAAGAGAGGGGCGCCTCCTCTCCAGAACGAAAGAGAGAAGCCTTCTCCGCTCGTTGGTGTCCTCGAGACGCGATTATGGCGCATCGAACAAAAACAAATTCCGAATAATAGCCTCTCGGTCGAATTCAATGCGTTAGTGGTGGTGGAACACGTTCACTTATATACTGTCGGTCGTGTATACATGCACGGGTATATGTGTGTCGATACATAGGGTGTTCGTAAACGGATACCATTGGAGGACATTGTCGTAACCGGCGGTAGAGTTCTTTCAATCTTGTACTTCAAATATTCTGTCGGCACATGTGTCCTTTATAATATAATTTTTACGATAGATTCCTCGTCTAAAATAAGAAGTACAGATAAAAGATTAGATAATAGAAAAGTAAATTTATGATTATTTTGATCGGTTTCCGTTCTTAGCTCTTCGTCTTATCAAGTCGTGCTCCAATATCGTAGAACTGTTAAAAATAAAGCGAGGCCTATGGTTAAAATAAATTTTTCATAAACAATCCTTTCAACTGAGAGAAACTTACAGAAACATTTATATTCTACGCACGAACGCCTAAAGCATATTAAAGCGCCGTTGTTCGTAGACATCCGTAACGCTTCAACACGAAAATTTTCATTTATCGCCGTCTTCGTCCGAAATCCTCTCTACGCTCAGTTATCGGGCATTGTTTGATACACGATTGCAAATTGGGCGGTGCACATGTAGTCGGTTATCGTCACCATTATCGCGGAATCGATACCAGATACAGCGACAGCCAAATTCCCTGCAAAAATACTTCTTCGATCACGAGCGACTCATACTGGTTTTGGAAGATTACGTTGATTCAGACTTCCACAGACTATATTTACAGAAAAAACAAGACTAGAGATTAATTTATATAAAAAAAAATTCAAAAATACATTTTCGATTCTGATGACTGTTTCTAAATAAAAAAAAACCCACTCCAGACCAAAACATTCGATCAGCAGCGAACGCTATAAATACATAACGATCCCGGCACAGTCCAGTTACAGACTCGAACGATTCTCCTCTCCTCGTTGTCGCTTCCCACCCTAAAAATCATCGTAGTCATCGTATTGGATTTCCGATACACCCCGTACATATGTATACACGTAACGTACTTACGTCCAGATATAGCACGTACAGGGAGCATTTCGAAGGTTGACGTCATCCGAGTTCAGTGAACGAGCAACCGCGATATAGACAGAGGGAGAAACAGAGAAAGAGAGAGAGAGAGAGAGACCCGTCGAACTTATATGCCTTTTCCCTTCGACCTTCTCTGTTCTCCCTTATCCCGGTCGTATATTCCTTCTCCCCCTTCTGTCTTCCCCCTCTGAATAGCAACGACCGGGGGCGGGGTGGGGGGCACCCTTCTGTAAAGCCCGCAACGGGTTTCTATTCTCGGATGTCAATATTTCGTCAACTAGAGCCCACTCGGCACGCAACAAAAGCCCCTACACACAGCTTGCGCGCGGCTGGCGTGAGAGAAAGAAAGGAAAGAAAGGCCCGTCTCGTCACCGTTCCCGTGATTCGTTCGATGGCGTGTTTTAGAAGAGGATGCAACGGCCAGGACGAAAGGAGATGGCCACGGGTGCGAACGCGCGACGCCTGGCGGGAAACCAAATACGAGGCGTATTAAACTGCCGTTTATCAACGCGTTTACAGAGGGAACACTTCAAAAACTGCACCGTGGGGATCAATAATCGCCCATTTCTGTCTTTTTCTATTTATAATTTGAAAGACTGAGAAGAACGTGTCGGTAATTCCAGTAAATGTTACACTGTAAGAGAAATTCCGACCTTAAGACGTTCGTAAACAGCGTGATATTATGTATGTGACGCTTCAATTTCTCATAAGAGCGTGTGTTGGACAGTTATAATTTTACAATTTACATTAAAATCGTTTATATTATTGATTATATTTTTCTAAATATTTTTCATTGCATAGTTATGAGGATAAATACTACTTCTTGTTCGTAAACGATTTTTCTGATGTTTCGGTAGTAACAGGTTATCTTGGATTTCGGTCTTCAAAAATAATCTATGCAAATTGGAATTTGCATAAATATTCGTGACGCATTTATTACAATATATATCGGAGGAGTGTGAAATTACCGATAATGGGGCACCGATGTGCGTAATGTAACGTTCTTTTAAAAAAAATTTAACCGTAAGTGGGTCAATGCCGCTTTCAGATACGCAGAAGGAGAATTCGAGAGACTAGCGATTCCAGTGTATAACGTAGTTACACTATTTCAATCGTGATAATCAAAGCAAAGAATCGAACCCCAAAAGTGTCATAAAAAAATGTTTTTCTTTTCAATGAAATTATATTCAAAAGCCGCGTCTGCTTCGATGGATCATCATCAATATCAAGATTTCGTTCACGTGTACGATAATCGAATATAAGATCAAACACTTTCT